AACGACATAATGGATTAAATACTCTTTGTTTTCTTCTTATGGCGTCAAATCACAACAACAGTCGCGTCAATGTGCTTCCTGTTGGAAGGTGAAACCCAACAATCAGACCTTTGTATGAATGAGCGCTTGGCGACAGCGGGAAGGACGAACTCCCGGGGCTGCGAGCGGCTTTAACAGTCTCTCAGTTTGTGTGTAAATGTGTTAAACTGCAGCATCTGAGCGCTTCAGCTGTGACAGACTCACGTCTCTATCTCAGCGTTTCTGCAGGTGTGAGTGAGACCGGCGGCGCTGCCGTCCTGTTTCTCTCCACTGCTTGTAGACGGACTTCCTGGATACACAAACCAAGCAGATTACAGTTACATCATAGTTTTAGGAACTGTGCTCAGCTGCCTCATTATTCCTAACTCACCATCATTTGACCATTTATTAAAGTCCAGGTTTGCTCTGGATTCAGGCGCCGCGCCGCTGAAAACAAACAGAATATATTTACTGAAAGCATCTGAAGCTGAAACGGCTTTGAAATGAATTTAGTTCATATTTATGTAAATGAACACTGAGCGATCGTCACACGGACACGTACTTCACTGCCGTCTCTTTGGAGCTTTCTCCCGAACAGGGAATCACGTCTGTGTCCGTGTATCTGCAAACAAAGTCAGGAGAAAAACACAGCAAAGTGTGCGAGGAAGCACTTCCTCCATGTGCACGTATATCCCACTCCCCCACTTTACTGTAAACGCATCACAACATTAACATGCTGTTTAGCGTGCACGCTGGCGTTCTCTCCAGAAGGATACTGCGCCCTGCCGTACTCCAGAGTGTCGTCTCCGTCCACGTCCAGGTCTGCGTCGCTGTCTCGACACTCCTTAGAGGTGGTGCTCACCAACATCGCACCTGGTGACACAGATGCAAATGGGAATCGTTGTTAACGGCCAAAATGCGACGCTGCCCGTGTATCTGCGGCGCTGTGACGGCGCCTGTCAGTCAGTTTCCAGGTCAGAGCTGCTCCTCACGCCAAAGAAGCTGCTGCTCGTAAGCCGAGCTTCCAGCATCCTGCTCCGTAATCTGGACTGAAAAGTTCAGCGCTTCTTCAGCTGCCACTCAGTCACATTA